GATATTATTATTACTTTTAGTATTAGTATTGTTTAACAATATGGATATTCTATTGTTTAATAATTAGGATACTAATTTGTTTATGTTTTAATTATTATTATTATATTTATGTTAAAGGGGAGTTAAAGCGCATTATGGACTTGGTTATTTATATAGTTGGATAATGTTAGTTAGATTATGATTATTATATTTGTAACCCTGTATTTAGCTCTGGGAAGTGGGGGAGGGAGAGGGGGGGATTAGGGTGGGTGGGTTTAGGGGTTTATATTGTAATTTTTATAAAACTTTTCAATAAAAAAAAAGTTAGCAAAGCCTAGGAAGCTTTGCAGTTGCTTCCTAGGCAGGGTGGAGCCCAATCCAGCACTGCTCTGACTTCTCTGTGTCCATTTCAGTCCCTTCATGCGAGATACAGCAGTCTAGGTAGTCTATCTTACTCTGGTGGAATTCGCACTTGGATAGCTTGGCATACAACTTGGCGGCTTGTAGTTTTTAGAGGACTGCCCTCATGAGTTTCACATGGTCTGCCTTGGTTTCAGTATAAATCAAAATGTCATCCAAATATACAAGCACCCCCTTGTACAAGTGCTCATGCAGGACCTCATTGATTAATTGCATAAACACAGCCGGGACCCCTTACAGTTCAAAAGGGAGCCCTTTGAATTGGAAACAGTCTAATGGGCAGTTAAAAGCAGGCTTCCACTCATTCCCCTCCCTAATTCTCATTCAGTAATAAGCTTCTCGCAAGTCCAATTTAGTGAAGATTTTGCCCTTACCCAGGTGACCCAACCTGTCTTTCCTCAAAGAGAGGGGACAAACATTTTCCACACACACTGTGTTTAGCCCTCTATAGTCAATGCACAGATGAAGGGCCTCATCCTTCTTCTCTCGGAAGAGAACTGGGGCCGCAACCCTAGGTCGTGCTGGCTGGATGAAACCTCTGGCTAAATTTTTATTGAGAAACAGCCGAAGTTCCTCCAGCTCTCTAGGCTCATTGAGTACAGTTTCAGTTTTGGTAACTTGGCACCAAGCTGGAATTCTATAGCACAATCTGTTGGTCTGTGAGGGGGGAGCTCGTCCAATCCCTTCTCACTAAATACATCCTGGAGATCCCGATACTCTTTGGGGATGGCAGGGAGGTCTTTCCTCTGCATTATTGCTCCTAGCTTGGTCTTCGGGGCAGCTGTCTAGGTTAATTTCTGTTGAGGTTGGGAAGAGCAGGTTTTCTGGAATTTTAATAGCCCCTTCATCCAGTTCATATAAGGATTCTACTTTTTCAACCAGGACAGCCCTAGACTAAAAGTCTTTCCATCCGAGGTGGCACTATGAAGCTTATCAATTCTGCATACCTAGGGGCTTGGTGGCAAACATTGCTGGGATGCCCCCACAACAGAGCCATCCAGTTGACAAAATGCCATCAGGACTTTTCAACCACCTCAGCCGAATCCCCAGTTTCTCAACCAAGGCCAGGTTCACTAAGCACCTGCAGCAGCCCAAGTCTTACAGCCCTGAGATTAGCCTTCAGCCCGGACCCAGGAAAGTACAGCTCTATGGGGATAGTCACTGGTGTGACCGGGTCACTTACCAGGGGGTTGTCATCATCGGTGTCCGTGAACCCCTGGTCATCGTCCGGTGGGGTTGGATTCCCTTGGCCCCTTTTGGAATTGAGGTGAACTCTATGACCACCACCCCTTTCAGTACCATCTCTTTAGCTCACACCGATCCTTTCATTGCCTTCCCTGTGGGGTTTTAGCTGGCTTTGCTGGACACCTGGTTTTGCATTCAGCAGCTTGATGCCCTTGACCACACTTCAACCTTCACCTGGCTGGTGAAAGTTGGGGTTTTGCGGTTTCTTTTTTTCCCGAAGGAGTCTTTTTCCAGGATTTTGCTGCTCGGTACTTATTTTGAGCCTGATCGATCTCCACTTCTTCAGCAAGCACACACCAGCTGTGTAGGGTCACAGGGGATCCTTGAGCCATGCAGGCATTGTAAAGGTCATCATTCAACCCATCTTTGAAACAGCTGATGAGGATGTCTTCTGGCCAATTATTGCGGCATGCTGGATCATGGAATTCCTCAGTGTATTCCACCACAGCTCTACACTCCTGCCTCACGGTCTTAATGCAGTCTTTGGCTTTCTGTTCAGCCAGGAGGTCCACGAACCAGCAGTGGAGCATGGTCATAAAATGATTAAATTTTCTCAGCTCGGAATCATTTGCATTGTGGAGGGTTACCATCCAGTGGGCAGCTGCCCCATCCAATGCCAGCATGACACACTTCACTTTAGTGCCTTCAGTAGGGATGTCTGACCTCTACTCCTGCATGTAAGTTAGGATGTGGGCCGGGAAAAATCCCAGCTACTGGGAATCCCCATCAAACATCACCCCTAGCAGTGGGGCCTTCCTTCTATGGGCACCTCCTGGTGCGTTGGTGGGATCCCTTTGTGTGGGTCCTGTCATTGCCTCTGCCCCAGCCGGGGTTGCTGGCATTCCTGCGGTGGTGTTTAAGGGAGAAGCTCTCATGCTGTCGTCGTCTTGGGTTTGATGAGCCTCCACTGAGGTCGTCTTTGCCAGGGTTCCACTAACCTTAAGGCTCTGGAACACTTCCACCATGGTGCGCATAGCTTGCTTCGAGGACCAGAAAGCCAGAGACTGCATTAAGACCATGAGGCAGGGGCGTAGAACTGTGATGGAGTACACCGAGGAATTCTGTGATCTGGCATGCCGCCTTGACTGGCCAGAAGATATCCTCATCATGGTTGACCTCGCTACTTTCTTCCTCCTCAAACTGAAGTTCTTCTAGGTCTGTTTGCCATTCGCGCCCCTGGCTGCATTGGGTGAGAATCACTTTCTTAGTCCTCCTTTCCTAGTCGTTCTTCCTGACATGAGTGGACCACCTGGGTTTCGATGAGTCCCCTAGGTTGGCGGCCTCTGTCCATTCGGAGAGGTCCGCTGTGGGGACTTCCCCCAGCACTCAGCTTCCTCTTGGTCTCTGCCTTGCACAGTTCCCACGGTAGAGGTAAAAGCCTCTCCATGTTGACCACTATTGCAGATTCTGGTTAATGTAGGGACCTGCCCGAGCAGCCCCCTCAGGAAAGCACGACCCTTGACTCCATGTAGTTAATCAAAAGAACTTTTACTGAGATGTAGTGGTTGCAGTAGAGCCAAGCGGAATCTAACATTCCCACACAAAGCAACAAGCTATTCTTCCCACAATGAAACCCTCACCAGTCCACCAGCACCCAATACAGTGTCGTAAGGTTGTTTTGAGAACACCAAAGTACAGGATAGATAGTGGTTCATCTTCAGGGCAAAGCAGCCTTGGTAGCATGCTGAAACTATGTGGGAAGGAGTCCGTCCCATCTCCGAAGGCGATCCCCCTCACCATTTCCCAAACAAGTACAGCACTACAGCAGAAGTGAATGTATGCAAAGAATGCCTCCCCAAAGTGGACCTCCTCCCCCTCCACCAGAATGGCAGGACACCTGAAAAAGGGTACCTGACAAGAACAAGCTGGATTTTACCCCCAAATGTGATTGTAGCAATCAAGTCATTGTATTAACTTCCTACCTGGAGAATGGATTCCAAAAGAAAATGAAAAATGTCTCTGTTTTTCTTGATGTCTCGGTGGCCTACAATACTGTCTGGAGAGAAGGACTTCTCCTCAAACTAATCAAGGTACCTTGTCGTAACTCCATTGCCTAGATTGACATGTTGAATAACAGGTTCTTTCAAGTTTTTCACAGAATTCAATAGACATAGATATCTTAAGTTGAATAACGGACAACCACAAGGATCAGTGCTATCCTCTGCTCTTTTTACATCCACGACCTGCTTGAAACCGTTTCTTGGAAATTTATTTATGCCAATGATATCAATCTCACAGTCCAAAGAACCAACTTCAGTGATGCTGAGGACATCCTTTCTCAAGTTCTCCAGAAGCTGGATGACTACTTCAAAAAATGGTGCCTCCAATCAAGCCTAACAAAAACAAAAGTAGCTACATTCCATGTCAGCAATAGGTGTGCAAATTACTAGCCTTCAGTGAAATTCCGGAACTGTATTTTACAATGTAATAATTATCCAAAGTACCTGGCGTAACACTGGAGAGATCTGACAACACTTAGAAAAACAGCCACAAAATTGAAAACCTGCAACAATTTACTGAACAGACTGGCTGGAACATCCTGGGGTGCTGATACTAACAGCCTACAAACAACAGCCTTGGCTTTGGTTTATTCCACAGTTGAATATTGTGCCAGCTTGTAGCTTAACAGTGCCCACATCCAAATGGTTGCTGTCCAATTCCACCATCTCTCATCCCACTCCTGTGCACTGGTTACCAGTACTTAGCAATATTAGAAGACAAGAAGCTCTCATTCGGCTGTGGTCAAGGATGCTGAATAACAAGGCCCTTCTTATTTACCAGGACAATGCATGGCCCATCATAAGATTGAAATCCTGATGTTAAGCTATTCACTTAACATCTACTCAGCTTAACCCTGAGAATGCTTGGAGAGAGTATTACATACCTTCTGACTGTTAGTGATCCCTCTACCAAACCACCTGGTTTTGACCTGCCTTGCTTTATCTGGTCGAAATTGAATGGAATTAGGTGTGATGCTGGAAGAAGTGCTTCTGCCCTGGATCAGTGGGGATGGAAAGATTCCATTTGTTGTGCTGCCAATATACAAACTATTAAACATATTGGGCAAGATTGCCCATAACATGCATTCTCTGGTTCCCTAGAAAATCTGCATAAAGCAGTGCAGAGGCAATCGCCTGGATAGCTGAATTGGACATCCAGTTATGAGGCCACTGCCATACCCCCATAGAAGTGTTATTTATAATTATGTGGACTGTGTATATATGTTTACTTCTCTTCTGTCATGTTCTCATCATATGTATTACTACTACTACTATTATTATTATTATTACTACTACTACTACTACTACTACTACTACTACTACTATTATTTCTAATTGGGGGAATTCTTTTCACAGATTCTCCAGGCATGCTAGCTGGCATTATTAGTTCTGTTGTAGTAGCAATAGCTGGAGCTCTTTCAAGTTTTATAGCATACCAGAAGAAGAAGCTTTGCTTCAAACCAAGTGGTAAGTTACAACAAACTTGACTTGAAACCCCCAAAATTTGGGGTTGTAAGATCTCCTAAAATAATTGCTTTAACTACATTGACATTGGATGATTCCCGATGTAATTGAAAGCTCACAATTTGAAATAAACTTTGGATGTAGAATGTTACTCTGTTCAAGGTTGAGCTGAATATACATAAATGTAAGGTATTTTAACTGTGTTTGTTTCTACAGATCAAGAAAACATTCCTGTGGAAAGCCAGCAAGGAGCACATGCAGCGCCATCTGGTAAGGTCATAAAGAGCTTTAAAAAATTACATATACACCTTTCTTCACCTGAAAAAGTGGCTTATATTTGTGATTTTGTGCAGCTTCCCACCTAGGTAGTTTTATCAAGCCACGCCTACAGTGCCCCATTTAAGAAAAACAAAACATGGTTTCTTCAGCCTTGTTGTTGTTGTTAGTTGCAAAGTCGTATCCGACCCATCACAACCCCATGGACAACATTACTCCAGGCCTTCCTGTCCTCTACCATCTTCTGGAGTCCATTTAAGCTCACGCCTACTGCTTCAGTGACTCCATCCAGCCACCTCATTCTCTGTCGTCCCCTTCTTCTATTGCCCTCAATCTTTCCAAGCATTAGGCCCTTGTCCAGTGAGTCCTTCCTTCTCATTAGGTGGCCAAGGTACTTGAGTTTCAACTTCAGGATCTGGCCTTCTAAAGAGCAGTCAGGGTTGATCTCCTCTAGGACTGACTGGTTTGATTGCCTTGCAGTCCAGGGGACTCGCAGGAGTCTTCTCCAGCACCATAGTTCAAAGGCCTCAATTCTTTGTCGCTCAGGCTTTCTTATGGTACAACTTTCATAGCCATACATTGCAACTGGGAAAACCTTGACTATACATACTTTTGTTGGCAGGGTGATATCTCTGCTTTTTAGTATGCTGTCTAAATTTGCCATAGCTTTCCTCCCCAGGAGCAAGCATCTTTTAATTTCTTGGCTCCAGTCCCCATTTGTGGTGATCTTGGAGCCCAGGAAGATAAAATCTGTCACTACCTCCATTTCTTCCCCATCTATTTGCTAGGAATTGAGAGGGCCAGATGCCATGATCTTGGTTTTCTTAATGTTGAGTTTCAAGCCAACTTTTGCACTCTCCTTCTTTACCCGCATCAAGAGGCTCTTTAGTTCCTCTTCACTTTCTGCCATTAGAGTGGTATCATCTGCATATCTTAGGTTATTGATATTTCTCCCGGCAATCTTAATTCCAACTTTTGATTCATCTAGTCCTGCCTTTCTCATGATGTGCTCTGCATATAAGTTAAATAGACAGGGCGACAGAATACAGCCTTGCCGGACTCCTTTCCCAATTTTGAACCAATCAGTGGTTCCGTGTCCAGTTCTAACTGTTGCTTCTTGACCCGATATAGGTTTCTCAAGAGACAAATAAGATGGTCTGGTACTCCCATCTCTTTAAGAACTTGCCACAATTTGTTGTGATCCACACAATCAAAGGCTTTAGCATAGTCAATGAAACAGAAGTGGATGTTTTTCTGGAACTCCCTAGCTTTCTCCATGATCCAGCGTATGTTGGCAATTTGATCTCTAGTTCCTCTGCCTCTTTGAAATCCTGCCTGTACTTCTGGAAGTTCTCGGTCCACATACTGCTGGAGTCTAGCTTGCAGGATTTTAAGCATAACTTTACTAGCATGTGAAATGAGTGCAATGGTGCGATAGTTTGAACATTCTTTGGCATTGCCTTTCTTTGGAATTGGAATGTAAACTGACCTTTTCCAATCCTGTGGCCACTATTGAGTTTTCCAAATTTGCTGGCAAATTGAGTGTAGCACTTTTACTGCATCGTGTTTTAAGATTTTGAATAGCTCAGCTGGAATACTGTCACTTCCACTAGCTTTGTTGTTGCTCAGCTTTCCTAAGGCCCATTTCACTTCACATTCTAGGATGTCTGGCTCGAGATCAGTGACCACCCCATCGTGGTTATCAGGGACATTAAGCTTGTTCTTGTATAGTTCTTCTGTGTAGTTTTGCCACCTCTTCTTAATCTCTTCTGCCTCTGTTAGGTCCCTGCCATTTTGGTCCTTTATCATGCCCATCTTTGCATGAAATGTTCCCTTCATATCTCCAATTTTCTTGAAGAGATCTCTGGTTCTCCCTATTGTTTTCTTCTATTTCTTTGCACTGTTCATTTAAGAGGGCATTTTTATCTCTTCTAGCTATTCTCTGGAATTCTGCATTCAATTGGGTGTATCTTTCTCTTTTTCCCTTGCCCTTCGCTTCCCTTCTTTCCTCAGCTATTTGCAAAGCTTCCTCAGACAGCCATTTTGCAACGAGAAACTCATGATCTGAGCCACAGTCAGCTCCTGGTCTTGTTTTTACTGACTGTATAGAGCTTCTCCATCTTTGGCTGCAGAGCACATAGTCAATCTGATATCTGTGTTGACCGTCTGGTGATGTCCATGTGTAGAGCCATCTCTTGGGTTGTTAGAAAAGAGTGTTTGCTATGACCATCATATTCTCTTGACAAAATTCTATCAGCCTGTGCCCTGCTTCATTTTGTACTCCAAGGCCAAACTTGCCTGTTATTCCAGTTATCTTTTGGCTTCCTACTTTAGCATTCCAATCCCCCATGATGATAAGGACATCATTTTTTGGTGTTGATTCTATAAGGTGCTGTAGGGCTTCATAGAAGCGGTCAATTTCATCCTCTTCAGCACCAGTGGTTGGGGCATAGACTTGGACTACTGTGATATTGAATGGTTTGCTTTGGATTTACACTCAGATCATTCTGTCATTTTGAGGATTGTATCCCAGTATTGCTTTTCCTACTCTTTTATTGACTATGAAGGCTACTCCATTTCTTCTGAGGGATTCTTGCCCTCAATAAGGTCCTCTGAATTAAATTCGCCCATTCCTGTCCATTTTAGTTCACTGATTCCTAAGATGTCGATGTTCAGTCTTGTCATCTCTTGTTTGACCACATCCAGTTTGCCTTGATTCATGGATCTTACATTCCAGGTTCCTATGGAGAAAAGATCTTTACAGCATCGGACTTTCCTTTCACCACCAGATGCATCCACAGCTGAGCGTCCTTTCAGCTTTGGCCCAGTCGCTTCACTCTTTCTGGCGCTACTAGTACTAACCCTCTGCTTTTCCCCAGTAGCATATTGGACACCTTCCGACCTGAGGGGCTCATCTTCCAGCGTCATATCTTTTTGCCTTTTGATACTGTCCATGGGGTTTTCATGGCAAAGAAACTGGAGTGGGTTGCCATTTCCTTCTCCAGTGGATCACATTTTGTCAGAACTCTCTGCTATGACCTGTCCATCTTGGGTGGCCCTGCACTGCATAGCTCATAGCTTCATTGAGTTACGCAAGCCCCTTCACCACGACAAGGCAGTAATCCATGAAGGAGTCTTCAGCCTAGTGTCTTCATTTTATTTTATTGTTAATTTTTGTATTGTAGATTAGATACAGTTAGCTCAGTCAAGAAAACTGACTGGACCAAGACCATTGAAATAAACTTTTGGAAATAGGTGGGATTTGCATGGAACCATTTTAAGTGTGTTTGAATTTGATGGTAAATATTAAGCATAGATTTACCAGACATAATTACTACATATAAAACAAAGTTCATGCTATTAGGGTTCATTTTGTTCCTTCCACAGAAGACAGCAGGAATCTTTTTTCATTAGTTTGTCACTTTGCAAAGTTTCAGACAATCTTCAATACTCATAGAAAGGCCAGGTTTATATATATGCATACTTGTCCTTTATCATTTTATCTTTACTTATAGTTTTTCTCTAGCATATTAAACAAAATCTAATGTTGTTTTCAGTGTTTAATCAGAATCCTGAAATATGTCAGAAATTAGGAAAATATAAGTCATTTTAGGATTTTTTTAATGAAGAAAATTTCCAGAAATAAAAGGAATAATTGCCATAAGGAAATAATGGAACTGGGATGATAATGAAGCCCAAGTGGTTACATTTAATCTAAAGAAAAGAGAGGCAAAGCTGCCCTTTCTTTCTTGACTTTTTCTTTAATTTTAACTTTAAAATAAGGAAAGTACCAGCCACCATCCTCTTCATTTCCAATTATGCCTCAGACTCACAAAGATCCTTTAAAGGAAAGTGAGTGAGAGACTTTGGCAATATTTTAAAACCCATCTGGTTGAGGAAAAAAGGAAAAGAGAGAAAACCTTGGATGAGCATTTGCTCTTTCTTTAAATACTTTCTTAGGACAATCTGTTTAAATCTGGTAAGAACCAAATGCATTTAGTGATGCTTACTTCCAAGTGTGTTCAGGATTACAACTTTAACTGGAAAAATTAATACTTGTAATTATATATACAATTATAAGTTGGCTATGGGTGAAATGAGTCAGAAACTTGACAGTATGTGTCAAAGGTGCTTTTTCAAGAGGTAACTGGACTTTCTTGTGCTTCTTTGAAGATGTTTTGTTCTCATCCAAGAAGCTTCTTCAGCTCTGACTGGATGGTGGGGAATGGAAGGATTTATATTCCTTGCATTTTTTTAGAGAGTTGTTGAAGCCACTTGGAGGCTTATTTATGTCTCTCATTCACTTTCCTTTAAAGGCACTTTGCAAGTCTGAGGCATAATTGGAAATGAAGAGGATGGTGGCTGGTACTTTCCTTATTTTAAAGTTAAAATTAAAGAAAACGTCAAGACAGAAAGGGCAGCTTTGCCTCTCTTTTCTTTAGTGGTGCAAATGGGTGTGGAGCCTTCTTGGAATCGCTGAAAGGACTGTGTTGTAGACTGGTGTTAGATGATGTCATATCCCTCCCCTTCTATTGAGAGAGGGCTGTTCAATTTTGACATGTCAAAATTGGCTATATCCCATAAATCTTACCACATGTGACCTTGAGGACACAGATAAACCTCCAAGTGGCCTCAACAACTCTCTAAAACAATGCAGGAGGTTTTTAAGTATTATATTTAGCATGAGCTATAACAACTTTCAGTTGTGGGCTATATGTTTTTCATTTTGTCTGTTCAGGTAGTATAGTAGCAGAGAATATAACTTTTCTCATTATTTTTCCCCTTTTAGTTCAACATACACTTTTGCAGAAACAATAACAGAATTTGATATGAAGAGAAGACCAGAAACTGGATTTATAGCCTGCATAATTTCCTGAAGGAGCAATGCAATGGAATTGCAAAGTAAATCTTTAAAATAGGCCTATTGAAACATCTTCAGAAAGGGAGTGTGATGTTTTTAACCAATGAAAAATATTTTCCTCCACTATTTACCCTTTGAAGTTCAATTGTATGCAGGGTGATTATTGTTTTAAAATGTATTTTATGGCATTTGTTGATTGGATTAAAGTTTTTTTTCTATTTTCTATTTTTTTTTAGCAAGAACTTTGAAAAGGGAGATAGGTGTACTTGTAAAATACCTTCAGGCAGGTTGTTCACTAAGTAAAAGTATGTTGATTATAGATATCTCCGAGAAGTACAGTTTGTCTTTACATACTGATGCATATCACACCATATGGATAAGGCCAGCTATTTAGATATTGGGGCAAAGCACAAGTTTGCTCTTACCAAATGAGTAGCTCTTAATACAGTACAATTGCTCACTTCATAATTGAAGTTATGTGTTATAAATATGCAGGGCTTTTTTTCTCGGAGAAAAGGTGGCGGAACTCAAACCTGGCCACGCCCTCATCAAACCCTAGGACCGCCCCTTTAGAGAACAGGAATGCAAGTAAAATTTGGGAGGGGCTATTTCCGGTGTGGGAGGGGCTATTTCCGGTGCGGCCGGCCCGGAAAAAGGTGCCGGAACGCGGTTCCGCCGCGTTCCGGCTGAAAAAAAGCCCTGTAAATATGTATGAATCGACTTAGGGCTAAGTCCCCTTGTCCCTGAATCTCTAGTTCATAAATATTAACCTTTTTGCTTCTACATGTTCTTGGTCACATTTAGACAATTGGACATGGAGTAAATGCCTTATCTGACTAGCAAACCTTTTGAAATTTTATCATTGTATACAAGTACATAGGAATTGAAGGCATTAAAAATCTAAGTTGCCTTATGTTTTGACTCAAAAATAATCTTAAAATAATCCTTATCTTGAACATGTTTGCATCTGAAAATTTATTACTTGTGTGTAGTAAGGCTATATTTCCGAGCTGCATGACGCTGGAAATAAATATGATTTTATAGAACATACACCATGCTCCTACAGGCTTTACAATACTTTCTTGAAATGGAATCCAAAACACTTTATAGCCTTAAGATGAATCTATCATTTTTACATCAAGTTTGCTTAGGGTTAGTGTGGGAAATGTTTGATATGCCCTCCTGGTTCCTATTGCCAATATCTGCCATTGGTAGGCCTTAATTAAATGTGAGAACATAGCCAAGGTATATAATGGCTTAGGTTCTTAGGCCAATTATGACCAAATATGATATGGATATGGATCCTGGATTTCAATAACATGTTATGTGCAACAATTATATTGGGACACAGCCTTCTCCCCCCTACACTTTCAGTTCAACAAGGAACCTCTTCGTATTGGGAGGTTAAGATTTTGGAGTGGTGATGGGAGAAACTCAATGGTCTAAGCTTGCTTAGGGTTAGCATTCTGTCTGGGAAATTTGGGGAGTTGAATTCCACACATCTTAAAAGTTGCCAAGTTTGAAAAACATTGGTCCAAATTAATTCTTCCAATTCTGGGATTTTTGTAAGAGTGATAAAATTGCACTATAATAATTCAGAGCTACCACAAAATTTTGGTGACATTATTTTGAGGGAGCTACTTTGGGGGAATCATACGCAGTGGATATTACTTGGCCATTTTAAAGTAGCTTGTCGGAGCTGTTTACTATTCCTTTCAGAGGGGGGAATAAAGGTGAGGAGCAGGCACATTCCTTGCTGAACTATAAACGTAAATAAGCATGTGAATTAGTCCATAATTGGATCTTCTTTTGCCCTTTATTCCATAATAAAGTAACTTTTTAGTAATGGAGTTGCTGCTTAAAACTATTTAAAATTGCATGTGCCTCTATTTAAGAATTTACCTTACAGTTTATAAGTGCCCTACTAGTTCTGTGCTTTGCATTTCATAAAGACTTATTTGTGCAATATTCTTCAAAAATAGATAATAAACTTCAGTTGCAGATGCCTTATGTACAATACCTTGAAGTGCCAATATATGAATTGAGTAGGAATGTGAGCTGAGTGTTTTATATTGTTTCATTAAAAGGAGGTTTGGAAATGGTCACTGAGACCATGTAAATTGAGTTAAATATCCTACTATTTACAATTTATCACCTAAATTGGTGATAAACTGAAAACAAAAATGTGGGTATCATGTTATTTAAGGGGAACTCATATAATTTCAAGTTAAGCATCATGCCAAAGTGAATTAAGTAAATGTTTGCATAATCTGATATGTGTATACATAGTCTTCTAGAAATGAATATCAGGCCAACTTCCAATTTAAATTAGATGCAAGTTAGCTGCATAAGTGATGCCTGGATTTCTAAGTTGCCCTTTGCACTTCAATAAATGAAATATCAGTTTTCTGTCATGTGAATCTAGCATACATTCAACACCAAATCTTAATAAATTCAGCAAGAACCTGCATTTTGAAGAAAAATGTGTGCATGATTTAGATCAGGGCTTTTCAACCTTTTCACAGATTGTACCACTTTTAGGACATGACAATATTTGAGTACCACCAGTGCTTAGCAAGTTGTCAAAAAGGGGTGGGAAATTTTGGGTTTTACTGATTAGATTCATTTGTTGTTATAGAAATGGCTAGTTTATAATATTATGGAAAAGTAAAAAGTTGAGGTTCAATGCTTCCTTTTACTGCAGCAGAGGAAATATGTTCTTTTCCCCTTCTCCCCCTCACTTTCCCCCCTTTTTCCTCACCACTGTGTCCTACTATTTGCTTTTGTATTTTTGTATTTTATTCTATAATCTAATAAAATATTACAAACTGTAGAAAAAAAGAAAAAAAGTACCAGTTTTAATTTCTTCTGTGTCTGTTCCTTTGCTGAATCTCTTTCCCTTTGCAGTGACAAATGTATGATGAATTCAAACTTGGCACTTTTATGACTTGTGGACTTCAACTCCCAGAATTCCTCAGCCCTCATGGCTGGTTGAGGAATTCTGGGAGTTGAAGTCCACAGGTCTTAAAGTTGCTAAGTTTGTAGACTCCTGAGCTAGCTGGTTGGCCCTTCTGAGCTTTTCCAATCCTTTCCCTGTACCCTTAAAGACACAGGAATCAAGTGCAAAGCAAGAAAATAAAGAAACACAAACTCCGATTTTTTTTTCTCTTTAAGCTGCCTCTGGCAATTGCGAAAAGCTTTAGCTTTAAATTAAGCCTGTTTACCTTCAAAGAAAACTTTCTAAAAGCCACAGACAGACTCAATTAAAGGGGGTAAAACTAATTACATTTGTTTAGGGATTAAACCTTTCCTGATGTCTTTTTTCCCCTTCCCCCACCCAAACCACGTTCTTTTATAGCCTCTCCTGTCCCCCCCATTTTTCTTCAGTTCACCTCCAGCTCCAAGCTGCTTCCGGAAGCGCCAATCAGCTGGAGCCCTGCTGGCTCCTGGGGCTTCTGCCAAGCCCAGACAGTCCTGCAGCTGCAGCTGCCTCTCCCTCAGGCTTGGCTCGCTTTGGCTCATTCCCCTCCCCTGCTACACTTGGCTAGCAATCACGTACCAGCTGCCATGTGGCAAAGTACCACAAGTGGTACACATATCACCGGTTGAAAAGCCCTGATTTAGATGATTGCAATTAGCAATTACAATATTTCTATATACCGTGTTTCCCGAAAATAAGACCTGGTCTTATTTATTTATTTTGCCTCCAAAAGAGGCACCAGGTCTTATTTTTGGGGGATGTCTTTTCCACTCACCTCACCGCAGCAGTACTGACAGCCCCGCCCAGCCGGCCCACTTCTTTTGTGACTGAAGGAGCAGATTCATTCTGCAGCTGATAATGGAGTTCCGGCCTGCATTTTGCAGTCAGAGGCCATCTGGAAGAGCCTCTGCAGCTGAAAACCGAGCTACCCATTAAATCCATTAAAATCCATTAAATCCGGTGAGGCAAGTGTCGATCCATGGGAGGCCTGGCTGCAATGGTAAGATCCACCCACCCTCACCCTAACTTGATTTGTAGGCATGCGCCTCACCCTAAAACTAGGCTTATTTTTGGGGTAGGGCTTATATTAGGCCCACCCCCAAAAATCAACCTAGGGCCTATTTTCGGGGTAGGTCTTACTTTCGGGGAAACACGGTAATCCTTATTTTGTGAACCAGGACTGATGCAAAAAAAAATGATTGCTATTGATAATATTGATATTTACCTGTGTTACTGAACAGAAGGATTAGTTCAGACCATAAATACACTGAACTACTTATGGCAAACTAAGCATGATTTATTGAATGAACTGTCTTCATCTATTTGTTCTTCCTCACCCACCAGTAATGCAGAATTTAAATCAACAAATCCAGACATCTGTGAACTATTGAGGAAGAGAAGAACCAGCAGATGCAATAACAATACTCTAGCCAGGAGTTCTCATGTTATTCCATTGTGTCCACACTTTGTTATAGAAATAATGAGAACATGTTTGGAATATGCATTTAATAGAGTATCCTATACATTTTTAAAAAATGGAATAAAGTTTCACATAGTACTGTACAGACAATTCCATGTAAATGTGCATGTGCAAAAGTGGCTGCTATTCTGCATGTATTTTGATGTAAATACCATTGAACTAGATCAGGGGTAGGCAACCTTGGTTCTTTTATGACTCGTGAACTTCAACTCCCAGAATTCCTGAGCCAGCCAATTCTGGGAGTTGAAGTCCACGAGTCATAAAGAGCCAAAGTTGCCTGCCCCTGAACTAGATGGTATTGTTCTTTGGAAAAAATGCATATGATTAGGCCATTAACCTCTTTAAAGCAAATCATTACCATGGGTTGACAATATGATTCATGTACACTATATGAAATATATCATTCAATATGTTTAATTTTTAAATAGATTTATGGTTCTTTAGATTATGAGAATCTTTAAATATTTGGTAATTAAAACTTGTCATTTGTTTTTAATAAAGAAATCTAAAATTATTGTTTGCCTGATTATTTTGAGAAAATTTATTTATTTTATTTATTTATTTAATTTAATTTATATGCCGCCCTTCTCCCGACGGGACTCAGGGCGGCGCACAACATACTTAAAACCAAAACATATATACAATCCCCCCCTTAAAACCGAATTAAACCAAATTTAAAGTTGCGTCTTCCAAATTCCTAAAAAACCCAGTATAAAATCCACCCTAGGTCAGGTCCGCTTGCTGAAAG